AAAAAAGAGTCTACTGACAAGGTGGCCAGGTATGAGGAGACAGGAGACAGAGTTTCAGACCCGCCTCTGAGAGGACAAGGTCCAGGTTCTTCAAGAAATGAGAAGCAAGGTGGTGTGAGGGCAGGGAGAGGTGACTGGAGGTAAGGAAATAATCGAAATCTGCCCACTGCAATCCAATTGGTAGCTCTTCACTGGGCAGATGTCCAGAAAATAGGCTCACTCATATGATTTGAGGGTGGAACTTTTGGCCCACAGATGTCAAGAGGTCACCCACTGGATACTCTGAAGACCTGAGTGTAGGGTCCCTGGCTTTAGCAAATTTGAGGTAGACAAACATGGCCTCTGGCTCTGGAGAGGAAGACAGGCCATGTTGCCAGTGTGACCCTGCATGGGTGGTGGTATCTGTAAAAGAGTCACAGGGGCACACAGCTAGAGACGGGACCTCTGCAGTACCAGCAGTGACAGAAGCGAGTGAAGCAAGAGGGTTTATTTGGGTTTCACTGAGTTTCTATGGCATGTGCCCCTTCCAGGATTTACACCTGTATATCCTAAGGTCAAAATTGACTCCCTGGTACTTTTTTCCTTCACAGAATACAGTAAATGTTATTCTTACAACAAACTAAACTACTGAACACAACAAACATGCATTACAAAGCCCTGGAAGGATACTTAACACACTGTCTCAGCCCAGGCGGGTTTTTGTTTATTTGTTTGTTTGTTTGGTCTTTTTGAGACAGGGTCTCACTATGCAGCAGGAGAGGTTTTTAGCTTTGGGTTCTCCTAAGCTTTAACATTGTTTTCCATTTTATATATTCACAAAACTGACTTTGATATGCTATAAGGATTTTCCTGCAGAGCCTTGACTTTTATTAAAGAAATCAATCTCTGTTAAGACTAGATCTTTACTGACATTTTTCTCTCTTTAGGGACAGGTATAACTGCTCAAGCAGCCGCAATGTTATCTATTCTGATAATATGCACGTTTTGTCTCTGTATATATTACTGATTTTCCCAGGAAGCTTTTAAAACATAGTGATCTCGAGCTGGGCGTGGTGGCACATGCCTGTAATCCCAGCACTTGGGAGGCTGAGGCAGGAGGATCATTGTGAGTTCAAGGCTAGCCTGGTCTACAAAGTGAGCTCAAGTCCAGCCTGAACTGCATAGCGAGACCCTGTCTCAAAAAGACAAGACAAACAAACAAACAAACAAAAAGCATAGTGGTCTCACCTTACCCTTTAGCCAGAGATCCAGCCCTGCTATTCAGAACAGGGCAATGTGCTGCCTGGACAAGCCGCCATCTTTATAACTATTTCTCAGGCAGCAGGCTGTGTCCTGTGTGATGGGGACTCTGGCAGAAAGGCAGTAGGTATGTCCTGCACACGGGCTTGTGAGGGCTTCTAGGGTCGGATAGCAGGGATGTCCTGAAACCTCGAGTAATGTCACACACTCACATCCCTGTTCTCTGTCCCGCCTCCAGCTCCTAAAGCTGACACCTGGCCCACTCCTCAAGTCCCACACGTGGCAGCCTGCATTTTCCCACTGTCACATGTCACATCAGCCTTCCTGGACCCCTCCAAAACCCAGTGAGCACCTGATCTCTGCTAGTTTGGAAAAAAAAACAAGCAAAGCAGAAACCTTGTTCTCAGATCAGTGTTTGGATTTCTCTAGCTCAGGCCCTGAATCCAGTGCTTATGCGATGTCACCTCCCTCAGGGTCAACAGGAGCCCAGGCAGACCCTCTGGGTTGGAATGAACACCCACCTCGCTCCCTCCTTGAGCACTTCCCACCTCTCCAGAGCTGTGGGCATCTTGGATTAGGTCTTCAGCTTCACCCCCAGGGACTCCCGCCTAGTGAGTTCCCTTCTGAATCCTTTTCTCCTCTGGATCCAAATTTCCATTCAACTCCTCGAACTCGGTGACTACATGTAACACCAAAGGAAGCCCAGGCACCAGGTGAAAGCTCTGAGCGGATCACCTTTCCTGTTGTCTCTTTTTTAATTTGCGTCTCAAAGGAATCACTGTCAAGCAGAGGAGATGGGAAAACTGTTTAGACTTAAAACAAACAAACAAACAAACAAAAAAAACAAGCTGTAGCGGGCAGTGCCCTGTGACGGAGCCTTTGACCCCTCTCCTCTTTCCAACCCCACATCTCCATGTGGAGGAGCTCTGGGGTGCTTACTGAACACACAGACCTTCCATCTTTTCCCAGCCCTGCTGGGTCCAAATTTCTACAGGTGCGACTCATTTATTTATTTACTTACTTTTTTTTTTTTTTTTTTTTTTTTTTTTTTTTTTTTTCTGTCTTTTTGAGACAGGGTCTTGCTATGCAGTTCAGGCTGGTCTTGAACTCACTTTGCAGCCCAGGCTGACCTCAAACTTGAAATGATCCTCCTGCTCAGCCTCCCAAGTGCTGGGAGCATAGGCGTGTGCCGCCACACCTAGCTCTGCGTATTTATTTTTAAAACAGGTTTTCCCCATGTAGTCCAAGCTGGCCTCAAACTCCTCACAATCCTCCTGAGTGCTGGGATGACAGGAGGGTGCCACCATGCCTGGCTTCTGGGCATGACATTTTAAAGGTGATTCTTACACATACTAAAGTTTGACAAATCTAAATAAAATCTGCTGATTCCAAGCAAGCTTTCTTACTCTATTTAAATAGGTGCCCCAGAAAGGTTACTTAACAATAACAGTGATTCTCTAAGAATAAAGACTGTAGACAGAGATCAGTGGGAAAGACCCACTGTGGAGAATACTTTAATTCATGACTGCATTATAACTAAACTACAAAACATTATAACTAAACTGCAAAAGCTGAAAAGAGTCCTTGCCTCACTACAAATTTAAATTTCCTCACTGGGTGATATTATCCGTTTGCATGACTTTTAACCACCCTTCTCTGCTGGCTCATTATTTTGTCTTGGTTTGGCTTGATTTGGTTCGGTTTGGTTTGGTTTTTTTGAGACATCTTGCTATGTAGTTCAGGCTGGTCTTGAAGTCCCTATGTATCCTAGGATGACCTGGAACTTGCAGTGAGTAATCCTCCTGCCTCAGCCTCCTGAGTGCTGGGATTACAAGTGTGTGCCACCAATCCAGGCTTGCATTCTGTTTTGTTTTGTTTTGTTTTTTGTTTTTTGTTTTTTGTTTTTTGTTTTTTTTTCTGGTACTCACAATCAAACTCACAACCTTGCACTTGCCAGACAGGCGCTGTGCCGCTGAGCTAAATCCCCAGCCCCCCGGCTTGCATTCTTTGAGTATCTATGAGTATCTACCATGTGCCAGGCCCTTGTGTAAGATCCCCTGGTCAGTCCTTCAGTAGTCCAGCTCACCAGCTAGTAGGCATCTCACTGTCAGACAGTCATAGATTTCCCTGTGCTATTATCAAAGATGTCATTACCTGCCCAGTTAATCAGGGAGGAGAGAGACCTTTGGATTCCAGTTAAATATTTATCTACACCTTGCAGTTTTGAACGTTTCCCAGTGTGACTTTACCACAATTAGATAGCCATCTTAATCCGTGTTATTCTTTGACAAGTTTTTATAATAAGCACTAGAGGTAGCTTCCAAAGGCTGTTCAAAGTTCCCTGGCTTTTAGTTCCTCCTAGACCTTCTGCTCCTCTTGGTGGGGGTCAGGCTTCTAGGTGGTGGGATGGACTAGTAAGATCACAGACGTCAGCGCAGGGAAATCGGTTGGGAAGAACAGCAGGGGCACTGCTGGAAAGAGCACAGCAGAGCTGGTAGGAGCTGGGAGTGCTCGCGAGGCACCCGTGTCTGTGGAGAAGTAAAGGTCATCCTGATTGCTGGGGTTTTCCTGTCTTTCAAGGATTTGCTCCACTTCTCTGGGAAGTTATTGAGGGGCAAGGTTCCATGCCAGAGGTCCTGGCTTTGTTTCCTGAGTCACATGCAAAGTAATTCTTGTCAGTTACTGCACTCAAATTCCCTTCCTGGGTTCAGGGTTATCATCTGCCACCTGTATCTCATGGAGCTCTCCTGAGGAGGCCTTAAGATAACGTTTGTTGAATAGCTTGGGAAAATGTCAGCGAAATTCCACTAAACACCAACACATTACAAGTGCAAAATAGACACTGTCTGGGATGGTTGTTTAGAAACAGCAAAAGGCCACATGGCTAATAAAAAGAAAGCATGGTGAAAGAGAGAAAAAAAAAAGAGAAAAGAAGCCTGCACATGGTTTTGTCAGGTTGTTCATTCCCAAATGCCAATGTTGGTCTTGACGTTATACTCAATTAGTGAATCTACCTGCTCCAAATTAGGGAGCTGTGCTGAAATGTTTTCTCACCTGGAGCAGTTAGGTGTATGATCCTTTTTTGATTTTGTCTCTGAAGGTACTGTCCTTTTAAACTCAGACTTAAAAGTGGACCCAGTTGGTGGGCATGACTGCACATGCATGTAATCCCAGTCACGTGGGAGGCTGAAGCAGGAGGATTGCAAGTTCAAGCCCAAAAAAGAAAAATACTGAGCAACTTACTGAAAACAAAACAAAAAAATAAATAAATAAGAAAAAGGGTTGGGGTTGTGATTCAGTGATCCAATGCTTGCCTAGAGTCTGGAAGGCCCTGAGTTCAATCCTCAGTACTACAAAAAAAGGGGTTGAGGTTTCATGGCTAGAAACTGCCAGAGAGAGCTGCCCTGACTATGGCTGGCTGGGAATTTCCAGGGCAAGAAGGGGCACTGGTGCCAGGTGCAGATTACTGACACACTGACACCATCCTCTATCCTCTCACTGGGCACCATGCTGTCTTTACAACCCAGAGGTCACAGCTGGAAGCCCTGGAGCAAGTCATCCAGATGTGTGTTGTTTGTCCTGTACAAGATGAATCCATTCGCTTTAACTGAAAAATACTGGCAGGAAGGATATGACTGCACATGCCTGTAATCCTAGCACTTGGGTGGCTGAGGCAGGAGGATCCCTGTGGATTGAGGCCAGCCTGTGCTACATAAGTGAGTTCAAGGCCAGCCTACACTACATAGTGAGACTCTGTCTCCAAAGAAAAAGAAAGAAAAAAAGAAAAATCCTGGTAGGAAATGTGCACAAATTGGATTTCACATAAAATCTAGCTTTCCAGTCTGGATTTTAGGCTTCTCTGGAATATGTGGAAACCCAGAGGAACTAGTCCTTCTTCTCACCTGCTGAGTGCCAGCCACCCTGAAAGGGACACCACTCTGGCTGTGACATGTGCGTTTTCTATCCCCGGGGTCCCTCTTGTGCTTTTTGCAGACCATTCACTCATTTATGTCACCTGCCTGGTTTTGAGTTTGTGACCCTGGCCTAGGTCAGTTATCTCTGAAGCATCACCATCTTTTTGATGCATTTCTCAAATTTGTCTTCTGTATTCCTTTTTATTCTACACAGTGTGAGTCTAAGTGTTTTCCAGTGTTCAGTGATGTCACCATTGTACCCACACGACCCATCATATAGGTACAATGGGGGGGGTCAAATTATAATCAACCTATAGGATTACAAGTAGAGCCGCTTAGAAAATATTGATCCAGTAGGGAAGCGGGTCACGCAGCAAGGGTACATGGAAAGAACAAAGGCATTCTGGGAAGGGATGGGTCCAGATGCTCTCATCACCCACCTGGGGACTGATGCCTCTCTGGACTTCCTGGTCCAGGTGGTGCTAATTATAGTGTACTTCTGAGTTACTGCTCATCCCTCAGGAGGCGTGCAGGCCTGGCCGCTATATCTTTATTTTGAGGCCTGGTCTTCACATGTGCCTCCGGCCACAATTCTGATGTTTTTATTCTTTTGGCTGAGTGCTTTGAAAGCCCAGTTCCTCTCTGACTGTGTATTAATTTCTATCTAACTTACCTATAAAATTGTCCCCTCCAAAGAGCTATCCCTAACTTCAGCTAGGGGAGAATGGGTAAAATTTCAATCTCACTGCTTTTTTTTTTCTAATTGGTAATCAAACTCATGACCTTATGCTTCCCAGGCAGGCACTGTGCCATTAAGCTATATCCCCAGCAATCTCGCTGCTCTGCACTGAGAAGAATCAGTGGGGGGGAGACCATAGTCAGGGGCCTTTGCTAAAGGGACTTGGGGAGAAGTTATGCTGCCATTTAGCAGGTGTGAGCTCTCTTTATAAGTTGACTTAGTGGATCCCAGTAAAAGGAGTTTGCACATTTGTCACTGGCTTTATCTGTGTGATCATTTGGAATTTGGGACCCTCTAGGTAAGAATAATAAACCTTTTGAAGAGATTAAACCACATATGACCAAAGCATGAATATTAGAATGGAAAGACAGTTCGGAGAAAGGAGCCATATCTAGACTTGCCCCTGAGGGGCTGGGGTAGTGATTTTAACCAGCTGTCTCTTAGCCCTTACTGACTGAGGTTATCTATAAGTCTGATATTTCTTGTCTTTTTGAGACAGGGTTTCACTATGCAGTTCAGAATGGCCTTGAACTCACTATGTAGCCCAGGCTGGCCTCAACCTTGCAGGAATCCTCTTGCCTCAGGCTCCTGAGTGCTGGGATTACAGTCATGCAGCACTATGCCTGGCCTAAATCTGATATTTCTTTGTCACAAGTCCCTCCAGTCTTAGCTATAGGAAGGTGGAGAATTTGATGTTTGTCTTAGTTACTTTTCTCGTTGCTGAGACAAAATACTCAACACCCAAAGTTAAAGGAGGAAAGGTTTACTCACCTCACACTTTGTAGAGGTTTCAGTCCATAAGTGGCTGGCTCCAGGGCAAGGTGGAACATGGCAGAGGGGCATCACACAGAAGAGTCCATGGTGGGCAGAAGACAGCCAAATCAACAGCCGACCTTAACAGCGTCTTTCTGTCCATTTTATACCCTATCAAGGCTGCAGGGATTCGGGTGATGACAAACCAATCAATGACCTGATCACCCTTAATCCCAGCATCACACACTCTAGATTCAGCCACCTCTGAAAAAGGCTTATGACTGCATGAGGCTCTGGCGGGACATCTAGACACAAAGCATAACGGTGCATTTAAAGGACAATTTCAGCTAAGGAATTTAAAGATTCTTGCTGAGCTTTTATAGCTTCCACTGTAGCTTCTTAGACTCATTGAACCGTAACAGTGGTCAGTTACAGGCGTAGCTGGAGACTGACAGCAGGAATTAATGAGTGGAGCCCAGTTTTTTTACCTAGCCTATATTACTATTCTATTATTTTTTTATATTTTTGTGGCTATACTTTTTTGTTAGCTGTTTAAGACCAAGTTAAAGTGAGACCTGTGTTAATCAAAATTAACCTCATGCTACGTAGCAAGGTCAGTTAAGGCTCTTTAGGGATTATTCTTGGAGCCATGTACAAAGTCTCAGCTCCTCTATTGGTGTCAGCTGCCAGCATGGGTCACTGTCTTGTTTGACCATGGGGCTCCCTGTGGAACCATGGGAGGCTGTTTTTTTTTTGTTGTTGTTGTTTTGTTTTTTGGTTTTGGTTTTGGTTTTTTCCAGGAATTGAACTCACGACCTCGGGCTTGCCAGGCATGCACTGTGCCCCTGAGCTAAATCCCCAGCCCTGAGGCTCTGTTTTTGTGACTATCTGTTTTAGCATGCTGTATATTAGTTGATTCTTTTCTTTAAGAGGATAAAAAATAGAAAAAAATTTTAAAACAATCAGAATTTCAAAATAAGACAATAGGGCTGGGGATATAGCTCAGTGGCATAAGCGCCTGACTAGCAAGCTCAAGGTCCTGAGTTCAAATCCTAGTACCAAAAAAAAAAAAAAATTGATGAAAACAAAATGATAGGAAATCAACAAATCAACAATTGTTGTTATATTGCATATTGTTATCTTCAGAGTAGTTACTTATTCTTGTCCTGTGGACTCTACCAATCTCCTTGCTCAGGAGGCTGGGTGACTCATCAAAGATGTGGTATCCTATAGAAAAGGTCCTCTCATATCCTGGGTCTTTGTTGACCTTTGAGGACCAGGGCCAAACTATTGGCTGTCCTCTTAGCCCAGTTATCTTTTTAGCTCTGGTCTCTAAACCTCAGTTGTGGAACACCTAAAAAGTAAATTATACCACTATTATAGTTGGAGCAGTAGGTTTAACTATCTTATCTAGTTATCGAGCACCTTGAAATATGTAGCATGACCAGAGAACTATTAATTTTTTATTAATCATGGTTTTCTTAAAAGTTGAATCTCTGCAGAATGTTAACAGATTAAGTTTATAAAAGTTTTACATAGTAGAGTTTTACATAGAAAACTTGAGATAAAAGACAACATAACCTTTCACCATAATGACTATAATGACATTTAGGCTTTGTCATTACCTGAAACACATTGAAGTATTTACCTTAGTGTAGAATAGCTTTTATATTATTTTATGACATAAAGAACTTTTATCCAAGTTTTTTGTCTTTTGAGAGGGTGCCATTGAAGAAGAAGTTACTTGTCTATAGATGTACCTTATGTGAATCTTTTTTTGGTTTTTTTTTTTTTTGGTGTTTTTGTTTTTTTGTTTTGTTTTGTTTTTTTTGAGACAGGATCTCACTACGTAATCCAGGCTGGCCTTGAATTCACAATGTAGCCCAGGCTGGCATCAAACTCACAGCAATCCTTCCACCTCTGCTTCCTGAGTGCTGGGACTACAGGTGTGCACCACCACACCTATCAGGTTAAATAACCCTTAGTTATTGCAGGCTGATCAGGCCCACAGTCTCCCAAGTAAGTAGATGGTGAAGGCTTGAATAAATGAGACAACTGAAATAATATCAGAGCTCCAGGAGGGACCCACTCTCTTACAGCTTCAATATTCTCTGAATTTAGCCAAAGACTTCTCTGGGAAGCCTGTATTTATTTATTTGGTTTACAAACAAAGGAGGGGGACACTCAAGAAGATGTGGGAATCTAGTAGGACCTTGTGAGAATTTTCCCAAGTAGTCAATTATGTCAATCAGGAGAGCTACCTTATCTTTAGGTTGGTATTTATTGTAGGAGTGTGGAGCTTGCAGTTATAGTCTCCTTTAATTTAATTGGGGTTGGAGCCAGATGTCCTCAGCTGTAGCCTTGTCTTGCCCTTTGAGGTGTCACAGTTTCACAGGCCAATACAGGCCTCAGCAGTGACCAGTGACTCACAGAGGTTCATTTACTATGAGTCCACTGCCCATCTTTAGACAAGATGCCTAAGCTTCGGACAGCTCACAAGTAAACATGAAAAGCCAGTTGGTTAATATTATATCCTGCTCAAAGCCTCTTCATAGTGCTCTCTGTCACATACCCAGTTTAGTTTCTCCTCTTAAAACAGACTTTAGACTCCTTTAACAGATTTCATAAGGTGTAACTGCACTGATAAGAATTAAGGACATCTTTGTAGCTCTGATAAATTTAGCAAACAGTGACCACAAATATATAAGTGTATCTATTTATATAATAACAAAAATGTTTGTTTAATCAAAGCCAACAGATGTAGATCAAGTTTAAATGTCAGGATCAAATTTAAAGAGATGTGAAATTTTGATCATTTTA